GAAAATAGGTGACGAGGGTGTAAGACTGATGGGAGAGGCGACGAGAGATGTTATATTGATTAGTATTCAAGACCCGAAAATTCACCAAGAACCTAATTTCTATTTAGTTTTTACATATGGCTCATCCTTTTCTTTGACTGAAATGAAGATATATTTTGGCTCGAAATCTTCATTAGCCAGATTAGTGTCAGTGGATTTCTTCCTGATAGGGAAGCCTTGCACAGGAGAATTAGCAAGGAAAGAAGAGTGTAGCAAAATTCAGGGAGATGTAGGGAGAGTGGAGGGTGCAAGGTGGATATGGTATTAGATTGGAAAGGGGGAGAGAGAAGTAGGAGTATAACACGGGAGGAGAACTCAGACAGTTTTGAGGAGAGCAAGATAAACATTTGATAATTAATAATCAAGACATTTTACCGGGAAGAAGACCCTATGCCAAACAGCAAAGAGTGAATCGAGTCTAAGAAACTTACGCTTCTGTGTACTTCTGTTGCAAATGAAAAGTGGCAGAGTATGCATTGGTGGACGACGGATGGATGATGCGAGGACGGGGGACGAGAGCGCTAGGGGAAAAAGAGTAAAGAGACTTGAGGAAATATGAACACCAGTGTTATTTAGAGCCAGGTGCGGTATAATATGATACCCATATTTTTTTTTAAAAGTAAAAATTTGACAAGATCGCCGTGAGCTGACACAGTTGCCAAATGTGACCGTCTACAGTTGGCCTTAAAGTAGCCTAATGCTGAGTAGTGGCAATTGTTTAGCGAGACGTTCACATACCCAATTACGAATGGGATATTTTGTGGGTATGGGAGGTGGAATGAGTGCCGCTCACGAGCAAGTGCAGGAGATGGAAGCACAAGAGGAAGGTGAGAAGGGAGAATGAGATGTTACCACGGATTAGAGGCGCACCGCAGCAACGGAGAGAGCAGAGACGCACACACAGTATATAAGGCTAGGGACTAGGCAGGAGGGAAGGAAGCCAGGAATGAAAGAGGAGAACACGGAAAGAAGAAGGGGAAATGTGTTAGTAGAGGGAGTAAGAAGAGAGAGATGAGTTGTGAATAGAATAAGATGAAAGAGAGAAAGAATGAGAGAACAGTCCATAATTAGAGTAGTATGATACGAGTAAAAGAAGATGAAGAGACAGGAGAGGTCAATATATATGAGATGATAGTCACACAAAATGGCAGAGGGATCGAGGACGTCACGGCTATGTGAGGAGAGGACGACTAAGGTATGTGACGCAGGGACACCTCCAAAACCCTCGATCTAGATTTAGGAAAAATACGAAGGAATTACTGCACCTTTAACATTTGATTACAGCAGTAGCAGACGTTTTGATAACAACCAACATAAAGGACGCACTACTGTATTGTATATGACTCATAGAGAACGTTTTTGCCGAATCCGTAATTTTCCCACTATTGGCACATTCAGTGGCCACTGCCGAGCAGCTAGCTGGTTTAAGGGCACGAAGAGATGTAGAGATGGGGAGTGCATTAGGGAAGGGGAGTTATTTTGGTAGAACAACATAGATATGTTAGGTATGAGATTTAGGGATAGAAGAGAAGAAAGATGAGAGGAGAAAATGCATGATATTTAAGAGCAATGGGTCGAGGGATCGAAATTCTGATAATGAGAGATTGGCCGTCAAAAAATCATTTCTGAATCTTAACGAGACTCATGTATTGGAGTTCTCCCCATAAAGCTAACAGCACGGCACTAGCAGTGCTTAGGAAACCACTATGTAATATTCTAGTAAAAAATGCTTTAGACTTGTTGCTGACAGATGATAAGATGCCAAGGAATATCTACAAGTTCTCTGTTGCTAGAAATAGCAATTATTCTGACAGAGCTTTTATTGGCCTGTATTAGCGAACAGCACTGAGAAGATGCGAGGAGCACTGGATGCCAATTTGAAATTAACCAGGGAGAGGAGTAAAACTAAATAGGCAAATAGTTGATGGTTCTAGAAGGAAGAAACCTAAAGAGAATATATATCAGATATTATCTTACAAGTGCTTAAAAGGTATATCAGAGTTTGGGGTTTCCAGAACGATTGGTGATATATTAGAGGAGTCAGGTATCACATGCATGAGGGTCATTTTGTTTTTTTTTTTCGAAGGGCCAGTTTATCTTTTGTACATTGAGTTTAAGTTTTCTAGCGACGTATCTCACTTTGAGGAAAGTTTGTATGGTGTATAATTATAATGTGACAACCATCATTAACTTGTAATTGGGCAAATTGTCTTAGCAAAGAATTCGGCAATATTTACGAGTCGATTTAATATGCCCTCGTATACTGTAAGATCACTCTTGCCCACTCACTTGGAGCAGTGGAACCCTAAGACAAGAACTTAAGATGCAAGAGGTTTGCTGTGGCCTGCACACGCTCTGACAATCCTTGGGCCAGTGGCCATTAAAGCACTGTAGGGTTATGAGGGAATGAATTTTTAATTACTCTGTGTGGCTTTAAAAGATAATAGTAAGGAACACTTGTTATTTAACTATGCGTGTTAACAAGAGGAGGTACAATTATTTTATGCAATGAGTCGTTTTCATTCTTCATAAAGATAGATAAAGAATATGTTATGCATAGCTAAAATACGGCCATTCTCACTTGCATAGCCTCTTTATTAGATACTCTTTTCTAATTTCGACTGATTATACCACATTTTTTCATCTGGTAGTAAGTTCAATCACATGGATATTAAATAGTTTTTATGTGCCCACTCGCATATGGTTATACGCCGTTGTATTGAGTATTTGAGAGAGTATTGCATTTCTTTCATGGAATATTATTGTGAAAAGAACCGCATTTGAAGATGCAATTTAGCATAGTAGATATTCGAGATTACAGAAGATAATGAGAGACAGAGCGAAGTAAGATGAGTGTTGTGAAGAAAACTAGTTCTTATGTGATTAGGTTCTCCTCTCACATGCAACAAAGAACTTGTGCATATTAGTTATATTGTATTACCAGGGAGGAGGGGAAGGGATACGGAGGGAAACACTTAGTGAGGTGAATGGAATTTGTTTTTATATACTCTCTAGTGAATAGTCCTCTATTAATGGTGAGCAGAATTTGTTTTGGTATCGCGCCAAATGGGTGCATATTGAGCTGGCAAAGGAAGGGATTGTAGAGGAAGAATTTGAGTAATGTGGAAAATGGCGCTAAATTGGTGGGAAGAGATGTGGATATGTGTAGTGTAAAATTTTGTTATAATTGTGAATATATTTCTAATATTTCTTAAAGGTCCATTAACTGATCTGGGTATTCGGTATACGTAGAAGGCCAAAGATCTGGACTTTAGCTAAAGTGGGTGATAATTTTTGTTTACGGCTTGTAGGCCCGGCCCTTAATGATTAGCTAATTGGGGGTTGTTAGACTTCTTTGCCTCCGCTTTGCTGTGTTATTATCTCTTGTTGTCTGAGATAGGTGAGAGTGATATTATATGTATAGCTTATTTGGATGCCATGGTGTTTCGCAGAGGATTGGCTGGTTGAGGTACAATTGTAATAAGCCTATACTCTAGATCAAGAAGACAAGATTAAAATGAGCAGGTGAGTTTAGATTCATTCCCAAAAGACTCACCAATATTATCTCTGAGCATAGGTGCTAGAGGAACGACACTGGGGGTTGTGTAGGATACACAATAACAAATAAAATCAACATAGCAATTTGTATATATTTAAAGTGCATATTCTTTTGTATTAAGGGTTCAAAAATTATTCATGTAACATGGGCATGGAGAAAATATGTAATCACTAAGCTTGAGGCACGTGGGGGGACTTGTAGGGAGCCAGTGGAGAGAGCTCACGAGTGCCACGATAGTCTTCGAAGGCCGTTATATTGTAGTGGGTTGAGTAAGATAAGTAGGCGAAGAGTTCGCCATTCCCAAAAGTCTTACTATTAAAGGGGAATCTAATCTTCCTCCGAGAGCTATGTGCACTCTTAGTAAATCATTTCCATTACCTTTGGCCTCCAATTAAATTTTTCATGACGAACCATTCACATCACCCAGGCCCTCAGACAAATTTTTTCAGGACTTTATGGTAATGTCACCTGGATCCAGTAGGGTTTAATCATTTATGAATTAGAAGCTTTTATAAGAAGGGAAATCATCCATATTCTATCTCAGCCATATTAGTAATTAATTTGAACCATGTAAAAATAAGATATTTGATTTTTAATACAAACCATGGGAGAAGATTATTACAAGCTGTTAATGTTTGAATTCTGATCTTCAAAGATTTTCTAATGAAATTACAAATAAGGTAATTTTTCACTCAGTTTTGAAAACAGTCCCATCTGAAGACTTAGAAATTATTGTTATTATTAGTGTTAGTATAAGTTTAAATAGTTTATCATCATCATTCTCCTCCTCGTCATCATCATTATGATAATTATTAGAATTGTTATCATCATTATTGTCATCATCATCATAAAGATAGCAGGTAAGGATAATAATAATGATAATTTTTATTATTATTATTATTATTATTATCATTATTATCATTATCATTATTATTATTATTATCATTATTATCATTAGTATAGTCATCATCTTCATCATCATTATGACAAAAATATTGTCTTTTTTTCCATATAGTTACCTGATACACTGAACCTGAAAGGAATCTGTAATGTCAACAGACAAAGAGGAATATTATGATGTATGGTAGCATATCAGCAAAGAGAGAACCAGATAATTTGGTAAAGAAATTTAAATATCTTCATAGTCTGTCCAACTTCAGAGAAGCTGTAAGTTTTTTCTTTCTTTCTTTCTTTCGTTCTTTCTTTCTTTTTCTTTTCTTTTTAAGATATTTGTTGTTGCATATTTGAAGAGATTGTACTTTCATTTGATATTTTTGGTCTTTAATTATTCTTAAAGATTATGTTATATATAATCCCAGACTGTAAGGATTTTGTAATCAAAATAATTAATGTTGGTTAAGTTTAACATCTTGCCCTTTTTCAGAGAAGAGTGAATGACAGCAGTAGTCTATTTGAGAAAATGCTTTTTATTGTGTGTCTGTATGTGTGCATATTTGTAGTGATTTCAGAATGTTAATTTTAACTAATGAATGGATGAGTAACACTTTCCACTAGTTTCAGAATGGCTGGTGTACTGACGGTGGTAGCAGAAGAGATGGGGAGAGCCTTTGAAATGGTGTGGAGTGGAGTAGGAGTGGCCATTCGCCTTAACAACAAGTTAATGACCACAGTGTTCAGGGCTGCAACACGAATTGTACAAGTACTCTTGCTACTTGTGAACAAAGTAAGCTTTATAAACATTGAAATTTCCATATAATAACTTCCATATTTGATGCAAGTTTTTCTGTCTAGTGTGTTGATATCTGATAATGCTGTTCTTATAGCTCTCTCTCTCTCTCTCTCTCTCTCTCTCTCTCTCTCTCTCTTCCTCTCTCTCTCTCTCTCTCTCTCTCTCTCTCTCTCTCTCTCTCTCTCTCTCTCTCTCTCTCTTCTCTCTCTCTCTCTCCCTCTCTCTCCCTCTCTCTCCCTCTCTCTCCCTCTCTCTCCCTCTCTCTCCCTCTCTCTCCTCTCTCTCTCTCTCTCTCTCTCTCTCTCTCTCTCTCTCTCTCTCTCTCTCCCTCTCTCTCTCTCTCTCTCTCTCTCTTCTCTCTCTCTCTCTCTCTCTCTCTCTCTCTCTCTCTCTCTCTCTCTCTCTCTCTCTCTCTCTCTCTCTCTCTCTCTCTCTCTCTCTAGCTCTCTCTCTCTCTCTAGCTCTCTCTCTCTCTCTCTCTCTCTCTCTCTCTCTCTCTCTAGCTCTCTCTCTCTCTCTCTCTCTCTCTCTCCTCTCTCTCTCTCTCTCTCTCTCTCTCTCTCTCTCTCTCTCTCTCTCTCTCTCTCTCTCTCTCTCTCTCTCTCTCTCTCTCTCTCTCTCTCTCTCTCTCTCTCTCTCTCTCTCTACTCTCTCTCTCTCTCTCTCTCTCTCTCTCTCTCTCTCTCTCTCTCTCTCTCTCTCTCTCTCTCTCTCTCTCTCTCTCTTCTCTCTCTCTCTCTCTCAGAGCTTGTGAGGTGAGGCTATAGGTCAGTCCAAAATTGCCTCAGGGATCCATGGTATTTCTGCTTAGTTATCCATACTCCACATGGAGACCCTGAGGGGGAACCATTTCTCTTCCTCATATACTCCAGACTTTCCATGGCCAATAATGTATTTGTACCTTTATTCAGGACATTGAGGCTTGCCCCTTTATCAACTAGTTCCTGAGACATGAACTTTTGTGATTGCCCGACCTGGTTCTCTCTTAATCTTGAGTCTGAACACTGCTACTATTCGCCCCTCTTTGATACTAAATTGCCTACCCAGCTCCTTACCCAGAAAAATTCCTTCCCCTCTCCCAACATGCTTTACTCCATCTCCACACCCTCCACAGTCTTCTTCATTTTCAACCCCCTCTGCTTTATTACTTTGCATCCTTATTGCCTACCTCCTCTTATCTTAACATCACTCTTTCTCCTGCCCTTGTCCTTCAACAAATTCCACCATTTAATTCTTTTAAATACTCTTTTTAACCCAGCTAAATGGGATTGTTCTTTTATGGTTCCTCCTACAGCCCCTTATTCTGACAGTACCCTTCTATTCCAACAGTTTTGATTGTTCACAGTTACATTGACAAGCTGGTGCATTATCAACCCAGATGACCTTATTGGCTAACCTATTCCTTCCCAGCCTCACTCCTTCCTCAGAACTTGTACTGGAACTGTTTTCAGCTCCACAGCTGATTGCCCTGTCTATGACCAGGAGATTTTTAGACTGAAAATGACCTACTTGCTTACCTTGTTGATTATTATGCACTATCAGTATAGATTACGCTATTCCCCCAAGAGGCCACCAAAAGTCCTACAACAGTACTGACAAAATTACCCTCCATTGACATAATCTCCCCCATGAAATTTATATTAGAGAGTCCTACATATTCATATGGACCCCATACCATTTTGGCCATCCTGTTAAGCATTGTGGCTCCACTGCCTTCTGTATTCATGATTGTTCAAACTACCCAGCAAAATCATATACGTGGGCCAATTGTGGTGCCTCCCATTGATTTATTTTGTAGGGGCTGACCTACCTACAAATTCAAATCTAATTGTCCTGGCCTCACTTTACATGAGGCCAGGCAGGAATCACACTGACAAGGTTTTTCTCTTGCTACTTATCCAGGGCTGTCCTTCGCTCTGCCACTCCCCCTTCTCCCCAAGATGTTTCCTATAATTCCCCTACTCCTTACGTTCCCACTTCTACTTCCTCTCTCTCTCTCTTTTGCCATTCTAAATTCAGACACTGATCTCTGCTTCCCCAGTGCCAACACCTCTTCCTCCTCCTCTTCGATCTACCTATCACATCACACAATCAAAACGTTCCACACCCTCTACTACATTTACCTTTTCCTTTGCCTCTCAAACATCTGTCCTTCATCTTCCTCTCACTAGAAAGACTGTTTCTTAGATCTTCCCAACTAACCACCTTCCAGGAACTTTCAAGGACATTCAAATTTACCCAATCATTACCCAAGATGATATCCTGTCCCTCATCCATTCCCCAATCTCTCTGCTCCCCTTCCCTCTACACTCGAAGTAACTGCAGACATCCATTATCCTCCTACTCATGTTCCTCTACACCCCTTCATCTCATTCCTTCCCAATGCACCTCATCCCCTCTGTAGCACATAATCATATGCACCACCATCTCCTTCCTTCCCTGGTAACCCTTCTGCTCCCTCCTGGATACACACATGACTACCTTTTGTCACAACAGTGCCCTTCCCTGGATCCTCCCCCTTCTGACATTTCTCCTGAAACTGGTCTGTGATCTAATAACCCTTAACCCCCTTTACCCTTTCACCAAGGGTGAAAGTGGAAAGGGGGTTAAGGGTTATGAAATCATTTGTCAATGATTAGATGCATTTTTAGATGCATTTCTCAATGGACATCTTTGTGAAATCCCACTTTCCCTCTATTTGATCTAATCACCCTTTTGCAGATCCCCATCTTAACCAATTTACTCACCCTCTTTATCCTTTTCAGTATCATGCTATCTTAAACTGCCATATGAATTTTATCATGTAGCACATAATCATCAACTTACCCCCTCTTTACCCTTTTGCAACTACACATTCCTATAATGCTATATGAGCTCTGATGTCTAACACATTTTTTTTTTTTTTGTTGTAACTATTAACCATTATTTTTTATTATTTCTATGTACTGTTTACTTTGTAAACTTCTGAACACATGTACACATGCAAGCCATATTCCAAGTGCACAAAAGGTTCTGACATTTGAATTTCCTGATTATTTTTTCATTATCTATTGTTACTTTCTCCTCTAGTCCATTCATGTCTGGTACATGTTATGCACATTCTAAATTATGTTGAGATGAAATGCACCAGGATTCATTCGAATGAACATATATTAAGAAATAAGTTAAATTTTTGGAACAGACTCTTACCTCCCCTGTTACCTTGAGAGATAAACATATTTGGGGTCTATGGGAATTTTTTTCATGCATGCATGATTATTAAATCGTCTTTAACTCAATTTCAACCTTGAGAGTCCATGGCCGTCCTAGCAGGTCCCTTTTGCAATATTAACAGTAACAAAAATAAAGATTTTGTGTTCTCAAACTTCAAGTAATTTGGAAAACTGGTGAGCTCAGGTAAACGTAGTATTTGACTTCTTTGTGATTAACATAAATGGTCATCTGTGTATAAACAATTAGCCGGCATGTATACATATTCTCCCAGTGCATTAGGTTGAAAAGATACATTTAAAAATGGGACTTATGAGTCATGGAAACAGATTTACTTCACTCTTTATGCTTTTGGCTGTGGCTACACATATCTTAAGAAATAAAGCTAAAAAGAAGTTTTTTGCACACATTTAAGGAAGTTTATCTCCTTGAAAACTGCAGTCAGGGCCAAAGAAAACAACTGTTTGAGATATAACTTCAAGCAGGCTTAATTGTATGTGGTATGCTTACTTGTCACCTGGTATTTGGGCTTGTTTTACCATTATGTATCCCTCCCAATACCTTGCTCGTTGTTGTCACGGGGGGGCATAGGAGACAGAGACTGGAACCCAATGTAGGGATTACCCCTGCCTTGAATGTCAGCCCTCGCCTCAACTAAATTTGCTAGGTCTTTTCTTCTCCTTTCCTCCTCTATATCTTCTTCATCTCCTTCTTCTGTCCCATTCCTAAAGTATGAGAGCCATGCTGAAAGGATGAAAGATTGGCTTTATGTCAGTCATGAACAACCTCTGGGAGCCATGGACACAGTATTCCCTTGGGTAATTGCCTAGCCCTTACCCCTTATGTGGACCCTCAGGGGGAGACCATTTCTATTCCCCATTTTATTCAGGTTCACCATGGCCAATAATGAAGATTGTTTACCCTTAATAGGGGTGTTAAGGCTTACTCCTTCATCAACTAGCCTATCTGATTTTGATTTTGATGATTTTCTGACCCCTGCCCCTCCTTTGACCATAGCTCTAACCACTGATACTAGTACCATCTCGACGTTTGCTGACAATTCTATCCATTCTGAACCACCCACCCAGGTTATTACTTAACCTCCAGAATACACCCCTTCTTCTCTCCCAGCATACTCTTCTTCATCTCCTACTGTGCAGTCTAATTCTGTGTCCACCCCCTCTTCCCTTATTACTACTCTTCACCCTTATTATCCTCCCCCCACAGAACTACTCCACTCCACACCAAACCATCTTCCTCTCGCCCTCATCCTTCTACTGCCTCTACATCTGCAAACCTTCTGAGTACTCTCTTTGGCCCAGTTAAGTGGGATCAATTCTTTGTGATTCCTCCCACAGCCCCCTACTCTGAGAATACCTTTCTCTTTCAACATTGCCTCCAAAAACAAGTAGGCAAAGTTACCTTTTGCAGTCGTTGCGATCATTCATGCCGAGTCACAATTACATTAGAATCCCAANCTCTCTCTCTCTCTCTCTCTCTCTCTCTGTGAGAGCCCTTTTGAGGCTCTAGGTCAGTCCAAAATTGCCTCAGGGAGCCATGGTATTTCTGCTTAGTTATCCATACTCCACATGGAGACCCTGAGGGGGAACCATTTCTCTTCCTCATATACTCCAGACTTTCCATGGCCAATAATGTATTTGTACCTTTATTCAGGACATTGAGGCTTGCCCCTTTATCAACTAGTTCCTGAGACATGAACTTTTGTGATTGCCCGACCTGGTTCTCTCTTAATCTTGAGTCTGAACACTGCTACTATTCTCCCC